TTTTCCCCTGCCCCATGCTCAGGCCCTGTTTCTACATTCCGGCTGGAAGGGGCCACGTTTATAATTGAAGAGATTGGCCTGGGTCTGAGCACAATAAGAGTTGAGAGTGTATGGGCACCTTGACCCATTTATAGCAACATCATCAACAATGCACAATTAGGAGTACTAAGTTTGAAGAGTGGATGACTTGTGTCATTCTCAATTCCCCTCCCTGGAGACAGTGGGAGGGAAAAGCAAAGGGCAGTCAATGAGCAGGATGGAGAGGAGGCGAAGACCTGGCAAACTCCCGTCCCTGGCGGCATGATGACATCGTGGTCAAGTCAGGCTTCTTCTAACGTGTTTGCAGATATCTGGACTGCATTTGGTGCGGTGGCGGGGATCTCTGGTTAGAGGCAGGTCAGCAGGAATCAAGGGCATAGCTTGGCCACCTACCTCTCTTGGCCTCGATTTCCTCAGCTGTGAAATGCTTCACAATAAGGCATGTGTGTGAAAGTGCTCTGCGGCTCGTTGACACGATCTAACTCTTGGCGTCATTAAATCATTACTTTCATGTCTACGCCACCCAAAGCTCTCAAATGGTTAGGACATTTGATATTCCTGGTTTTTTTCTTCTCCAAAATCAAACATCTTTTATGAACCCGAATGTACAAAGTGAAGACCATTGAGGGTCTGTTTTTCTCCTTCCCATCTCCTGCCCTGCCTGTGTTCCGAGCGCTTCACTCGTTCTCAGCCTCGTTGCAGGTACTGAGGGTCTTGATGTTTTTCGTAAAACTGGCTACATTTCCTCCTTTCTACCTCGATGTGAAAAACAGCAGCCATGGAGAGCTAGGGAGTTTCCCATCAGCTGTCCATCACGTTCACACGCACCGGAATGGGGAATTTAGCGAAACAACATTTACCCCCGAGAACAATCCCGCAAAATCTGAAGCAAAATCCATAAGGGAAAAAACTATGAAACTGCTCTTAAGTACCCTTTCTAAAGAGCTTCCCTGTCTATTTCTTCTTACTATTGGCTGAATGTTTCACATCAAGTCTAGCGCTCACGATCCTGTGAAACCAGTTTGTCTTTCCCCACTGTCTGGTGAAAGAAACTGACCCTGGGAGGTGGAGTGGTTCTAAGGTAGTTACCAAGTTGAAATGAGATCTGGGGGAGCCTCTTGGTTTTCAGTCAAGCTGCTTTCCCTTTCTTCAACAAAGAGACATGTTTTAGCACAAATATACCTTTTTAAATATACGGACAAACTTCTAAAAGTGTACACACTATTATACCTCTGAAGGCAATCTCACAGAGAACTGAGAACACATTGACAAAGCCTAAGAGAACCTGTGTCTTAGATATAAAATGCGGCTGGCTGTCCTGATTTCTCGATGATCAAAGCTATGTAGAGTCAGGATCCAAATGCCTCCTCAGCTTGTGGTTGTGGAGGTTGTTGCTTTGATAGCAAGCACAGCCACCCACAAAGCATCATGCCCTAGCATGGACTAGTCAGTGGTGGGGCATCATTTCTTGGTGGGGACACACATAGTCAGAGGTATGTAGTTGGACACCCCCTTAGTGGTGAAAAGGAAAGGCAATGAGGATGGAAGCCATCTACACTGCCTTACCCATCAGCCTGCTCCCCTGCTCACTGCCAGCCAGATCCTGAACCCATCCTTCCTGATCTTCCCCTGACCTTAGTCCAGGCCTTTCTCCTCCGCCTCCTCCTTTAAGATCTTCTTCCCCTCTTGCCCTTTACACTCCCTCATGCATGACTTTTTCAAATCCTCAACCATAATTTATCACCATGTGAGAGGATTTAGGTTTGTACACAGTTAGTGCAAGCCAAAGCCACGTAGGGTAAGAGAGAAGTACATTCTTTTTAGAGAAAGGGCAGAAAGTGACATTTACTGATCCTGCCTTAGTCTATGCTGGTGCCAAGTAGCATCTGTTCTTCACAATGTCTCTGTGTAAGAGATATCTCTATCCCACTCCAGAGTTGAGGAAGCAGCATCAGTGAGATTAAAAGACTTGCCTAATGACATTCACCTGGTATCACATTGTTCTGTAGGATTTCGGTAGATACAAAGGACCTCCATATTGGTTCCCTGGGATCTCTGGAGAATCTAGGCACTTCCACCTTGTTCTAAAGGGCTTTTCCTCCGAGGCCTGGCCTCAGACTTCCCTCCTCTGGCTCCCCTCCTTTGAACTCCTCCACTAGCCTTTCCAGCCTCCAATCTGAGGCCAAGCTGTGCCTGAAGGTATGGGTCCTCTCCCCCCGCCCCCAACAAAGGCCCCAGGTCCAGGCCTTTGGCCCCTGGTGACTTGTTGTCTTATCAGCACCCCCCACCCCACCCCCTGTCCCCCAGCCAGCTCAATGATGTCAGTCACTGGGAACTCTCCTCTCAACTCCAGTCTGAGCACCTCTTCCTGAGCCCCCTTGAGGGCTGTTTTCCCAGATTATTCCTTGAAATTTTATGTTATTGAGCAATTAAATGAAAATCTCAAGGGGTGGGGCCAAAACATTGATATTTCTTTTGAAGTTCCCCCCAGGAGATGCTAAGAGACAGCCAGGGTTGGGAACCACACCCGAAGTCCCCTTGCCTGTCAGTCCGTTGCTCCTTTGGGGGAATAAGATATTTTGCAACTGGCAGGGAACGCTGAGTTGCCATTTTTCTGTTTGCTTCTGTCAGCCCTGACGCCTGCCCACCCTTCAGGTCTGATAATTCTGCATTGTTCTTTGGAAAGAATGCTGTGGTCACACCTTTGGTGCAGGGAATCAGACTATAGAGCCCATTGACTCAGTGTTATCAGCTGATAAGCCTGTGCCTCTTGCTCAGAATATCAAATAAGAGACAGAGTGGCTAAAAAAGAAACCTATCCTGAAGTCTGGGGCTGCCCCACAAATCTCCTCTCTGTAGCTGCCCTGAACCACAGGCTTGTAGTTTGTGTGTGTTAAAGAGAACTGGAACCACACCACGAGTGACCATCAGAAAGTGGTTCTACTATAATTCCTTAGCCAAGGCACTCCCAAGGTGAAAAGAAATTTGAGGTTCAAGATTCCCAATAAAAATATAATCTTCCCAGGTTGTAAAGTGCCTGAACGCAGAGATTATTTCTCATGAAACTATACCTCCTAGAGCCTCTAGCAAAGGGTTTTTCAGAGAATTTGAGCTTAAAAATACTTAATGAATGAATAAGTGAATTCCTGGATGAGTGTATGAATATGTTAACGTGTGACTATGAAAGTACATAACGTGCGCTGGATGAATATACAAAGGCGTAAATGAGTACACGAGTAGATGACACATATTTGCTTTTGTTAATGAGGGAATGAACAGTGTGTTTGTTCCTGGCATCTTGTGGCCCCTGCAAAGCCATTGGGCGAGGCTTTGGAGAACAGAGGTGACACACTGGAGCCCTCCTATGTAAGGAATGGATCCAAGGGCCACTCCAAGGCCCTCATAAGTTCTCTTTCCCTTACTAGAGCCACCACTGCTCTCGCATCAGAACTCAGCTGCAAGCCCAAGATGCCAGTGTTAATCAATTCTCCCAGGAATGAATAGTCAGATCCTGGAGGATTGATCCACACCATAAACCAATACATTTACCCTGGGAATACAGTTGCTAATAGGACCAAGACTGATGATGGCTGCTTGTAGAATTCTCTTCCCAGCAGAGAAGCAAAGTTAAAAGCAGAAGTTTCTTTAGGGAGAAGAGAATCAGAATCAAGTGAATGGAGATCGCTGGTGTAGATGGAGTAGCTGGATACCGTCATCTCTGCACAGGGAGATACCCGATGAGAAAGGTGCCAGGCCCCATTCCTCAGATGCTGCAGAAGCCTCTTTAATGAATTCTGCATGGTCTACCTCTCCTTTTTCAGTATGTTTTATTGATCACCAATTCTTCCGTCATGACAAATTGCTTTGCGATACACACCTTAGAGTAAATAAGCTGCCAGTTCCACTGATATTGGCCATATTTGAGATGGAAATCTTCCCAAAGAGATTGGAGAGAATTCCCTCCCAGGGCTCCCCTGTCTTGAGAGTCACATTTATAAATAGTCTCCTGGGACAGAGTATTCCGTGAGATGATTTTTGGAGAATATCCCTTTATGCATTCTTAGCATCCATTTCAGAGGATGACATTTATGGCCAAGCCTCCAAGTTTGGAGGATCCTATTAGGAGCTTACAGATCCCTGTACCTTGACGGCAGCCAGACTCTGCCGGTTTTTCCAGGATAAGGTACCTGAAAGCAACATACTGTGTTGGGAAAGTAACCATTTTGAGACAGTTCTGAGTTTGACCCCCAGCTCTGCTTTTCCCTTCATATGTGTCCTTAGGTAACTTAACCTCTGAGTCTCAATTTCTTCAATTATAAAATGGAAGTAATATTATCTACATTGCAGGAGTTTTTTAATGTGGATTAACTTTTTAATGAAAATTGTTTAATTAAAAGCCCCTAATAGCTTTCAATCAAAAGTAGCAATTGGCCATGACAACTAGGGTAGGACGGAGCTCTCTGCCTTGTATCACACAGTTCTTCAGTTCTGCTTTATCAGAACTACCCACACTGGGGCCTTTCCCTCTGAAAGAGACCAAAGATTCATTTGTCTTCCTTTTGTAAAATTCATTATGCTTGTAACGGACATGTTTAATAACTGTCTTTCCCCTCCTTGGCAAAGGTCCATGAGGGCAGAGACCACATCTGACCTGTTAATTACTGTCAATCCCATGCCTAGTCATGGGGCTCAGTAAAGAACTGTTGAGATGAGTCACTGCACTTTAAGGAAGCACTAGAAGCCACTTTGGATATATCTGGAGGGGAGGTCACTGCAGGAGAGTCCAGCACGACCAAGAGCTCCCATTGATTCCTGGAAAGGGAATGGCTAATAAACTGTGGTTGGGTTGGGTTGAAAGGTCTGAGATTGATATAGTAGTCTTTTATATACACCCCAAATCACAGCTCACCAAGCCCTTAGTTGTCCCTTTGGAAAGAGGCAAAAATACAATGCCCTTGGTATATCACCTAGTGACCTTGCTTTATTATATGCTATAAATGAACACTGCGTTTTCCTAAAGCAGACCCAACTATATGAAGCATTGAGCCTATATGGAAAGACCAGAGAAGAAAGACGTTTGGGTTAGAAGTCAAAGCAAGATAGTTTTACTCCAAGTTCTATCAGTAATTTTTAATGTCACCTTAATCAGGCCATTTCCCCTTCCTGAGCCCCAGATTATCAAGCTTTAAAATGGGGAAATAAAATAGTTAAATTCCATTGGCCCTCCCAGCTCCAGCAGTCCCTAATTGTCTCATTCTACATTCACATGCGTGTCCTCCATCAATTAGATGATTGTAAGCAATAGTTTTGCATTTCCCACAATTCCACATCCCCTGACAACGACAAGGTTCACAGTTTATGGAATTGCTATTTCTCAGCAGTTTGGTGCTAGTTGGTTGTGGTTGCAGTGTTTTATTAACAAAGCTTTGTTCAAGTGGTCTTATTTGTCTGCTTGTCTCTTGCCCCTTGTCTTGCAGCCATGCTGCAGGCAGTGCGAGCCCTGATGGTCGTGGGCATTGTCCTGGGTGCCATTGGCCTCCTGGTGTCCATCTTTGCCCTGAAGTGCATCCGCATTGGCAACATGGAGGACTCTGCCAAGGCCAACATGACACTGACGTCTGGGATCATGTTCATCATCTCAGGTGAACAAGGAGCCTGGGGTTCCCCCTCTCAAATATGCTGCTGGGAATGTCAAAGCAAAATCTTTCTGGTAGAGGAAACACGGTTCTCTCTACTGAGTGTGATCTGAACATGGATCAGAGCTTTACACACTGGGATTCAAAATCTGAGATTAAGGCCCCATTACACTCTACGGAATTATCACAAGTGCTAAAGCTCCTCTCAGCTGCCAACCCCACCCCGTTATAAGAGACTCTCAACCCTAGGGTAGTCATGTGACTCAATCCCCAAAGGCATTATTTTGGTAAGACTCTAGAAAATGATTTTAAGGGAAGAGCTCTTAACATAGTCAAAGGACCAGGCCCAAAATATTTGTACTATTGACCCCCAGTCCCAAAATCCGTAGAAAAATCTCTTTCTGTGCACATGTAAATCCTTCCACAATTAGGGAGATAAGAGAGTCTAAGCACCTAATATAACATCTAGCACATAGTGGGACTTCAATAATCAGTGCTTGGATTGACCACTCTGTTATGGGAACAGGATATTCTGCAGCCTGCTCCTCTACACTCATTTACGCACACGCTGCCTCAGAAACATGGTGATCTCTTTAAAACTGACTCTGGAGCTTTCTTATTCTTTGCCCACAGGTATTTGTGCAATCGCTGGAGTGTCTGTGTTTGCCAACATGCTGGTTACTAACTTCTGGATGTCTACAGCTAACATGTACACCGGCATGGGTGGGATGGTGCAGACTGTTCAGACCAGGTAACCTCCTAATCTAGTCTCCGTATTCCATGGGGAATATTGTTGTAAAAATCCGATTAAATACATATGCCTAATGTGATTGTCAGTGCCTGAAATAGCAAAAATTTATCAGAGACAACCATGCCATATCATAAATCAACAATGATCTGTAAATTCATAAACTTCATTTCAGTGAAATATCCTCAGTGATATGACTTGGGGCTGATCTGACATTTGCATTGAAATACAGCGACAGTTCACAGTATTTATCTAACACTCTTACACAGGCCCCATTGTGGTGGCAATGAAACAGGCACTGTTAACCCAGGCATGTAAATGAGTATCAACCCGCATCTCCAGTCCATGACAGGAACCTGGCTAGGGACAGGTAAAAGCTGGAATAGAAATGAGCAAGGTGTAGTTTAGGTGAGGAAAGTAATGTTTCTTCCTTGTACAGCTGCTTTTTTCTCTCATTCATTAATTCATTCATTTTACAAATTTATTGAGCACCTGCTGTGGGCCAGGAACTGTCCCGAGTGCTGGGGATAAAGAGAAGGTCCCCATTCTCATGGAGGTTACAGTCGAGGAGAGGGAGATAAAACCCCACTATAATTTGGTGTCTGAAGAAGGGTAGAACTTTTAAAAAATGGAAGAGGAATTCCACACCCGTATTCATTTAGCCACTTCAAAGGAACATATTTCATAGCCAGAAGCAGCAGCAAATTCCTGAAGGAGAAAGATCTTGTTCTGGGACAACAATGTAAATATTATACCTTAGTGACTCGTTGTCTGCGGAATGGATCCACTTGGTATTTCTCCAGCCACACCATCATGGGATACAGGCAGGGTGTGAGGATATATAAATCCATTACTCTCTGGCTCCCTGGAACTCTAATCCCCATCCTTGTTCCTGCTTTATTTCAAGAATGGGAAGGAAGTGATCCCCACAAGCTGCCCTCATCCTTCTCCATGGCCTTCCCATGGTCTCTTGCTTACAAGGGCAACTTAGAAGTACCCTGACCAACTCGTCCTGGTTTTCCTGGGACTTTCCCAGCTTTAGCATTGAAAGTCCCACATCCTGGGAAACTCCTCTGTCACAGACAAATCAGGATGGTTGTCATCCTACATAGAAAAGCCCACCTTGTCCAAAGTATCTGGGTACCTAGTGTCACTGCTCCTGACCAGAAGAGTCACCCACCCACCTGGCACCCAGCACTAATGCCTGTCGTCACTCTCTCCTGCCATCTCCCTGGAACCTGCCCCTGTCCCTGGGGCAGGCAACTTCAGTCCTGAGACTGAAATTACAGGATTCTGAAAGGCCTCCAGAACATCTTTATCCACGGATGGGCTGTGGTTTCCCCCCTTCTTTCTGTCTTCTCATCTGTTCTACCCAGAATTCACACAAGACAGCATAGCTACCAAGAAAGATCTTGGCAGCCAATTGATGGGGCTTTGGTTCTGGTTCCCCATTCGGTCCCAGGATCCCCTCCTCTGCCATTGCTGCATTGAGTAAAACATTGGCAGAGTCTAAGCCCTGGACCAGAGCACAAAGCTCCTGCCTTCACACGATACACGGCTTGTGAGGTGTTTTGTGTTAGCCTTTCATTTTATAACCTGAATTAATCATCAACTTTTAAAAATTAGAAGTGCCAGAGGTTGGGTTACTCAGAAACAGATCCTGAGGATCCGTGTGTAAGTGATTTACTAGAGAAGGGGAGACTGGATGGGGAGGGGGCAAGCAGGACAGGGAAGGGCATGCTTTCAGATTAAGCCTTGCACTCCGCCTGATCCTGAGGAGCTATGGGGCATGAATTACACCTCCGAGTTGTCTTGACTCCAAACTTTCACTCCTGCCTGAGTGGGTGGTTGCCGGGGTTCCTTGAGTTAGATAAGACGAAAGCTTCTTGGCCCAAAGTAAGAACTCAAAGGACCAAAACTCCTTCAGAAATAATAACTGGAGATAGTCCATATCTCTCGAACTTTTCTGGCCAAACCTTCGAGACACTCCCCTTTGCCAGTAGGGAGGAGGGGGCTTTCCTGAGGTGTTTCTCTGGGATTAGACACTAACAGGTATTTCTCTGCCTGAGTGATGCTAGGGGCCCAAGAATCTCCTGCTGTTTCGCTGATTAGCTTCAGTCCCAAGTCCATCCTCCAGGGCACCTGAGAACGTTGCCTGTGACCCAAAGGAGTGTATGTTTCGGGGGCGTGGGTGGGGATAGATGTGGAATCCAGAAAGGATGGGCATGGCCAGGTGCCGTGTGGGGAACCTGGGGAGTTGAGTCACCCACATTCACAGCCACCGTCTCCCCGCTCAGGTACACCTTCGGTTCGGCTCTGTTTGTGGGCTGGGTCGCTGGAGGCCTCACGCTCATTGGAGGCGTGATGATGTGCGTCGCCTGCCGGGGCCTGGCGCCCGAGGAAACCAAGTGAGTCTCCCCTCCCCGACCAATCAGATGTTTGATGCGAGTCCATCCTAATGTGTAATTTGCAGCCAGCATGACAGCCCAGGGATATGGAAGAACTTTATGACTAAAGGTTCAGGAACCTTCTCTTCTATGGGGAACCTAAAGAACAGAAGGGGAATATTTCAGCCTGAGCAGATTTAGGAATGATCCTATTTGAAGGGAAAAAACCCATCCCTCTAGGTTCCCTCTGACTCCAGTGTCCTCCTCACTCAATGGTTCTCAGCTCGAGCATTTTGTCCCCCAGGGGATGTTTGGCAACATCTGAAAACTCTTGATTGTTACCACTTTGGGGTGGGGAGGTGGGTGATACTGGCATCTAGCGGATGGAGGCCAGGATGCTGCTAAGTCTCCTACAATACACAGGACAGGGCCCCACAACAAAGAAGCATCCACTCCAAAACGTCAATAGCATATATGGCTGCTGAGAAACCCTGCTTACCTCCAGGAATGGACCTGGAGCTGGGAGCCCTGCATCCCAGTCTGGTCCTACTGCTAACTAGCCCTGTGACCTCCAGCAAGTCGTTTGCCAGCTCTGGGCCACTGTTAGCTCCTCCATGAACTAAGCAGATTAGAGCAGATGGGCTGCCGTTGGTAACTTCCAGCTCACAAATTCTATGATTCTTTGGCATTACCATGTTCCCCTGGACAGTATTTCTGGTTCAGCTTCATTTTAGCTGATTACCAGAGGGAGCTCACCAGTCACCAACTACCAGCTTTAATAGAAAGCAAGAAATTCTACTCCAGAAAAACCAGTGTCTCAAAGCCTGGGGTAAGCAACTGCCTCAGTTTGCCCAGGACCAGGGCTTTCCTGGGACACTGGACTTTCAGTGCTAAAACTGAGACATTCCAGGGAAAATGGGGCGGTTCGTCCTCCTACCGAATACATCTATGGTCATGGAATGTTTCTCTCTTTTCAGCTACAAAACCGTGTCTTATCATGCCTCAGGCCACAATGTTGCCTACAAGCCTGGAGGCTTCAAGGCCAGCACTGGCTTTGGGTCCAACACCAAAAACAAGAAGATATACGATGGAGGAGCCCGCACAGAGGACGAGGTACAATCTCATCCTTCCAAGTACGACTACGTGTAGCCCTCAGAGACACCTCGCGCGGGCAGAAGAAACTCCCCCATTAGAGCTCACCCCAAAACAAGGACATTTTACCTTGATTCCTGATCACTTTTGCCTCACAATTGGAAGTTAGCAAAGCCTTGATTTCACCTGGTGAGGCCAGATGGTCTTGGCCACATGTCTCCGTCTCTAAATGTTCCATCACGAAACAGCTGAGTTATCGGATATGAATTAGAGGCCGTAGCTCATATTTTCCAGCCCTCTATTTCCTTTTTTTTTTTAATATAACCTCCCCAATCTGATGATAGAATGTGGTTTGAATTCCTATCAGACATATGGATGATTTAGACAGACTCTCTCTCTTTCTTCTAGCCAATTGCTCATTGATGATCTATTTCCCAACTCGTCTCCCAGAACAATTGTAAAAGGAAAAAGAGAGAGTCAGTCAAAAGACATCATTTTCTGCTATCTAATTTTTGCCTCCCTTTCCCCAGTTTGGCTACTAATAAACACTGACTGGAGAAGAGGTGATGGGGAAAGATCTTAGTAACGTCTCCAGCTCATTATCTGAGTTTTCTCACACTGTGGTTTTGAACGTTACCTGACCAAAGTGATTTCAGTTTGTGGAAACCATGCCTTTCTGCTTCCGCTGGCATCTGCTAATTCCAGCCAGACTCTCCCAGCGTCTCCAGGGCTCTCCACTGCAGCTCTTCTTTGTGTCACCAGCCGGAAAGTGTCCCTGGAGGAATGAGAAAAGGATTTCTTTTTTTTTTGTAATCTAAATATATTTGGTATTCTAAATATAGTTAGAATAACTAGTATATTAGTGAAATGATACACTGGCTCTGTGAATTAGCCTCACCCCTGCACGTAGATAGAAGAAAATGACAAAATAATTGCTTTGACGTTGCCTCTATTGTACTTTGTAAAGTCACACTTAAGTCCGAATTTCATGAAATGCTGACTGATCCTAATCCTCTCCCCTTGAGGTCTCCAGGACTCTGATCATACATGATAGAGTCAGTGTAACCCTTTGAAAACCAGATAATGGAACACAGCAGATCCTAGGAAGTGAGTTGAAACCAGTTCTTTCAAAAAAGAAAAAAGTGATGAGCCTGAATGTAATGTTATGTTTCCAAGAGACACATATCCACACTTGCACGACTACAGGCCACTGTCACTTGACAGTCGCACTTACTTGGCACTGTGGTCAGCTTTGTTCCTCTGAGAGCTGCTCCCGTCACTGAATTCACTAGAGTGGTTGGACGGTTGGACGTTCAAGAACCGAAAGCTCTCTGCAGCACACACCCTCCCCGTCTTTACATCACTGCTGGAGAAGGCCTCAACTCCTTCTTCCGGGCCACCAGATTTCCATCCTGGCACCAGAGCCAGGGTAGGCCCCCCAGGAAAGGGAGGTCAGCGCAGTCTCTCAAAACTACCTAATCAGGCAGCAGCATTCGCACCGGGGGAATCTGACCCTTTGGTTATTACTTGGGAAAAAAAAGTCCTCACACCAATAGTGCGCGTGAAAGTGGTCTCCCAGAGATGGCTGAATATCCACAGGGGTCTTCAGGCTGAATGGACCATGTCTGGGGGAAGACCAGATCATGGCCCATTAAACAGAGGAATCGGGAAAGGAGCCAAAACAGTAAACTCAGAGACCCTTCTCACTAGACAGCAATGGTTTCAGGCCAAATCAGATAGAGGACCCAGGGGACTCATTGTCTGGCACTGGGTAAAGGACAGACAGATAAATCAATTCAAGCAAAGGAACTGGGGATCGGGGGAGAGGAAGCTGAGCAGTCTAGGGCATCAGGATTTGAGTTGAAGGTCATGGTGAGCTCTCACTCCTACCTACAGAAAGTCCCTGGTCAGGTCTGAGGCACTGGGGTGTGGCTCAGCTGGGTTTTGAATTCGCACATTCTCTATCCAACACTTAATTGTTTGAAAGCCTCATGTAGTTAGATCGTGCTTTGTAATTTTTTTGTCGCTCTGACTTATTGTATATGCATTGAGTATTAACCTGCATGTTTTGTTACTTAAATATTAAATATACTGTTATCTCACATTGGAACAGCTTCTGCTCTTTTCTCCTAAGCTTTGGGAAGTGGAGGTGGGAGGCTTAGCACCTCAAAGCCGAGCGCCTCTTCCTGGGGTGTTTCTGTTTGCAGGATCTGTGTCTGCTCAGCAGCAGCCTGGCTGCCTGGAGGCCAACCAGGTCTGATCCAGCCCAGGTAGTGGTTTCTGCAAGATGGGAAGCCTGAATAAAATGGGATTCCCAGCACAGCCAGGCATGCAGCATGGGACCAAGGACCAAGTGTATCCTGTCTGACCTTGTGTGTACCAGCCTGAAGTGTCTGACGTCATTGGCCTGCCCCTGAGCTAGTAAAGCAAGAGAGCCAATGGCTGTCCTCTTGATCATGTCAAGGGCTGCGCTTGCCAGCTCAGTTAGCCGTACTCACTGAGGCTGCATTGGGCTGTGGAACCAACATGAGCTATAGTCAGAACAGCCCAGCCACACCACTTCCCAGGCCACACCACTTCCCAGCCGCATTAGCTTGAACAAAGCACTTAGACTTTCTGAATCTCAGTTTCCTTGTCTATAGAATAGGGACATTAAGAATAATGGAATACTATGTACTGGGGGGATTTGGGGAGATAAGGCAGAAAAAAAAAAGAATAATGGAATAATGCAAGTAAAGGACCTGTTTAAATGGCAAACACGCAACTTGCACAACTTTAAGACAAACAGGGCATTGGCTTATGTAACTAGGATATCTGAGGCTAAGATTGGCTTCAGGCACAGCTGGATCAAGGGATATGATCAAGACTACCTTTTTCTGCCCTCTTCTCAGTTTTGCTTTCCTCTCTGTTGGTTTGCTTCTCAGGCAAGTTGTCCCCACAGGATAGTGATGGCTGCTCATATTTCTAGGCATATGCCATCCTTCAGCTAGGGAATCTTGCCAAAAGGAGGCATCTCTTTCCTGATATCTGTAAGGGAAAAAAATCCTGATAAAACTCTTTGGATTATTTGATTCATGGCTCCATCCCTGAACCCCTTGCTATAGCGAGAGCAGTGGCATTTAGCTTGGCCAAGCCTGGGTCCCACAGTCAAACATGGAGATTTGTCATATGCCACAAAGACTGTATCCTAAGGACCCAGAGCTTAGAAGTAAGGAAAACTCATTGCTTTGCCTAATTTTTTACCCCTTTGGTTAAACCTGAACTCCAAAAAAAGCTTCAGGGGTACAACCTCAGAACCTCTCTGACTGGTTACCAAACAGCATAGTATTTATAGTACAGAGAGATTACGCTGGTTCTCACAGAAAACTGATATTTAAAACCTAAAAATGGTAAAACCTTTACATTCAATTATTTTTCTTTTTTGAGGAAGATTAGCCCTGAGCTAACATCTGCTGCCATTCCTCCTCTTTTTGCTGAGGAAGATTGGCCCTGGGCTAACATCTATGCCCATCTTCCTCTACTTTTTATACGTGAGGCGCCTACCACAGCATGGCTTTTGCCAAGCAGTGCCATGTCTGCACCCAGGATCTGAACCAGCGAACCCTGGGCTGCCGAGAAGCGGAACGTGCAAACTTAACCACTGCGCCACTGGGCTGGCCCCTTACATTCACTTTTAAATGAGTAGGATTATAAAACTGGTTAGTAGAAAACTGTTTTCAATTATTTAATTTTGAGCTATTCAAATTTAAATTTCCTAAGATTAGGGGCATTTTGAAGACCCCTGTGCAAAGACAGAAATGGAGGAATCAAGTCATAATGTACATGCTCAAAAGACGACTCACCACCATTACCCATAAAATCCCTGGGGAGTCCCGAGGAGCTAGCCACTGAGTGTTTCACTGTCAGCCATCTTGAGGTCCAAAAGAAAGGGGTTTAATCAACGTCTCCGTAGGATGCCCAATTCTTTTACCTTTTTCTTGGGTGATATTCAGCCCCATCCTGCCTCCACAGGACATTGCCCAGGGTCAACTACTGCAATGGCCACAATTTTTGCCAGAGTGCCTGGCATCTCAGAGTTGATTCACTCCACTGGGGAGAGCACTGCACTTGGAATCAGAAACCTGAACTTCTGCTCCAGACTCCACTCGAAGGATCAATTATAATAATTTACCAATGTGTTTTCCTTATTTTGTTTCTTGATCGAGTCCTTGTGATCAGCAGTACTGCTTTTAGAGCTTTACGTACTGGATCTCTAATCCTCCAGCAATCCTGGTCTCACCCACTGACCTCCAACCTGTGACTAGTGTGAGTGGCCCAAAGCTCCCAGACACTTGCCAGGACCACACCTCCCCCCCCAACACACACACACTCTCATACACACACAAATGCACACTCACAGATACTCATGCACACTCAAACACCCAGTTATATTTCTAGGTCCTCAGCAGGGACCATAAGTTCTTTGATTTTTCAATTCTTAAGCATTTGCAAATGCCTCAGACCTGCTTTTGAACTATTCCATTCCTCCACCTGAAGCTAGGCTTATTTTTCACATCTCCCAATCCACAGTTAGAAAGAAAGAGATTATTCTCTTCCTAACAGCCCAAATTAATAATAAAGGAGCAGGAGAGGTATTAGGAGTTGAGGATAAACAGAGTTTCCTTTTGGTTTAATATTAAGTGCAAGTGTAGGGGAGGAAGACATTTCCTCTACCCAGTCTACGTCCTTCTGGCTGGACTACAAATTAAATTGACATGAGACAGAATAACAAAAGAAAATTAAACAAAGCTTTGTGACATGTATGCATGGGAGAGACTCAGAAAAACTGAGCAGCTCACCAAAACGGTGACGGTTCTCTTCTTAAATATCATCTTCAGCTAAAAGCAAAGGAAGATGTTGGGGGTGGGGGAGTCAGTTATGGGAGATTACCAGAAAAGCACAGTAAACAAGAGTAAGGTAGGTATGCAGATTTAAGTCCTCACCTTCCGCATTGATTGGAGTTTTTAAAGATAAGGTCATCCCCCCTTCTTCCTGGTACAGAGAGGGAGACACCTTTACAGATGGAGATTTCCTTTACAAATGTAAATGTCTCTTACATAGGGTAACTTCTACTTTTCAGAGTTTCTCTCATGTCTGCAGTGTTTAAAAGTAACCAGCCCAAAATAATCCTCATGCCAAAGAGACATACCTTAGGGTGGCCAATTCCAGTCCCCCATACAAGATACTACACTGTGGAGACAAAATATCACTAAAATGCTTCAGCTGTATGCAAATCCCATTCTGGAACAAAAGTGTTTAATTCTGATGTGAAAACAAAAGGGTCTCACAGTGATGGGTTTTAGTCTGCACACCACCACAATACTCAAGACTAAATGCAGCTACTACCTAATGACCAAGTAAGATGAAATCTCTCAGCCACCCCTTCTATAGACAGTTGCTAAAAGAACCCAGAGACTTCCTCAGAGAACCTTCCAGGGAGATTTGGGTCTTGCTTGGAGAAAAGGAACATAAGTCCCTTCCATAGAAAATATCATATTTTGCCCTATCTTTAACTTATATTTTGGGGGAAAGTAAAGATAAAGTTATATCTAATATAAGAGAAGGCTAAAAATATTTGTCCTTTCATCCAGCAATTTCCCTGTTTTGAACTTCCCCTAAGGAAATAATCATAAATATTTATGCCCAAAGAAATGTTGATGCAAATTACCAATAATCGTTCTCTAGATAGGAGAGAGAGGGTGGTTTTACTGGAGCCAAGCTGAGGATCATAACCCAGGCAGGCGGTCTCCACAAACCAAGAAAGCATTCCAGAGAAGCATGGTTTTCAGGACAGTTTTATACCTTTTTAGAACAAAGAACACACATCAAACATGCCCGGGATACATATTCATCAAAGTTTCAAGGATATAGGCAGTTGAAAATCAGCAGGTCAACATGACCCTCATGTCTGGGAAAGGGAACTTATCTTTAGGAGTACTGACAGCACGTTTACCGATACTGGTGGGCGTTACCCATACTGGCGTCGCAGGCGGGGAAGTCTGCATTCTTTTCTCCAAAGCATGAATTCTTTACTTTAATGGCTAAAGCAGACGTACAGTGTGTGTGTGAAGGCTGGAAGTCAGGCTTCCTTAGTTCAAGTCGAATCAGTTTTGGACCAGAATAGCTACCCCATATACCTCAATATGTGAAAATCTCTTGTCAGATATCTCAATTGTTTAAAATAGTGAAATTGGATCAATCTAAAATCCAACTAAAGGAAGACTTAAATCAATCATAGTTTATACATAAGTAAACTAATATACAGCCATTAAATTATTCAGATATTTTTAGATATTAATCCTTTTAAATAGTACATTGAAAAATGCCCCGGAAAGAAATACATTCCAAAATATTTTTAAAGTGGTTGCTTCTGGTTGGAGACATAATGATACTTTTTCTTTATGTGTACTTTTCCATACTTTCTAAATTTTCTTCAATGAGAATATTTTCATTTTATATCCAGAGAAAAAATAAAACTAAAAACTGATGAAGAATCAAAAAATAGAAAATAGCATCCAGACACGGCCCAACAACGTGAATCTACTTAATATCACTTACCTATGCACTGAAAAGTGGTTACTATGCTGAATATGATGCTATGTGTTTTTCACCACAACTGAAAAATAGTAATAACATCCAGACAGGAAGTCCACAAGGGCAGGTGCAGCCTGTTACCTGGACACCTGGCCATCTCAGGCAGCTTAGAAGAAGGAAGCTGGTAAGCCCTGGCTGAGCTGAGCTCTCTGTTTATTCTGAACCAATAAAATAAAATGGTCGTGAGCCCAGAAACTGCCCTCACACTGTGTTGTTATCGTTTGTCTTCCTTTTGGTGACTCTTTGGCATTCATTTCTCCATTTCATCACCCCTACTCACCTCTGAAGATGGGAGAGCAGAGGCCCACACCCTCATCGTGGACAAGGACATGCTCAGGGCCTTGCTCAGCCATGGCAGGCGGACCCAGAACAAGGACTGGAGTGCACACCCAGGTTTAACCTCTTACCCCCTCTCCAAAGTCACCCAGACTTCATCTCCTCACTCCTACCCCATGTGCCTCCCCAGTTTCCAACCCTTTTTCTGGACAGAAGGGCCAACCCAAAAGAGTGAGGACGGGCTTGCTCTGGGGCGGGTGGTCTAAAGTGGGCAGGTGGCCTGGGCCTCCACTCCTGTGTAGGGAAGGATCCAGAGCAGACCCTCAGCTCCCAAACATTCAACACCGGGAACCCCTCAGACCTTCATCTGGTAAAGAAGCGGCTTAGTAAGATCTGTGTGTCTTATATCAAAAGAGGAAGACTTTAGGGGCCTCAGCGGGTTTCTCAGGGTTTCTAAAAGATAATCTCAATCTCAGTTGGTGTATTACCCTTAGACTCTACTCAGAGATGTTAGGAGTCAGGCAAAATTCAGTAGCTTTTTTTTAATTGGGCAAAGCATAGTTTTAGAAACCCAGGCTTACATAAGAACAAAGAGAACAAAATCAACCCCTCCTTCCTGAACAGATGTTAGAAATTAAGAGAAAAGCATTGATGGCCGAAATGAATGATGGTGAAAGATCACTTTGAGACTTAAAAAAAATAGATAATTATTAATATTAATATTACTATCAAAATCATCAGGTAGATCTGAGACACAGCTTCAGTCCCTTTTTGTACAATAGCCCCAATCCTTGAAATAACCCATGAGACAAGTATGATTAGGCCCGTTTCACAGATGAAGAAACCAAGGCTAAGAGAGGCTAAATGTCTTGCCCAAGTAAGGTAATCAACTGTCCCGGTTTGTCCAGGACTGTCCTGGGTTTAGCATTGAAAGTCTGCATCCCAGGAAACCCCTCAGCCCCCTGCAAACTAGGACAGCTGGTCACCCTATGTTACGGCTACACAGCTAAGAGGAAAGTGTGGATCCCACTCAGGGTGCGGCTGGTTCCACACCTCACTCTTTCCACTACACCACAGTGAATCCCAGTAAACAGGCAGAATACATACATACATGCAAAGGAAGGAAGGAAGGGAAGGAGGGAGGGAGGAAATATCCTTAAAGTATGAAGCCAAGAAGCATATTACTTAAAAGAATATACTGTAAAACTTCAATCTTTAATTCTTAAGGTAAAAAAAAATGTCAAGCAAAAGCAAATGTATTGTAAATGGTGGGCAGGCAGATGGCAGGTTTGGGGGAGGCTATCAGGCTAGCTGGTCCCTGTCTGAGCTGACACATTCAGCCTCTACAAAGCTCTCAGTATGCTGCGTGACATGTGTGCACTTCTAAGGGCTTCCAGGCTAAAGAGAACTGTGGTGTGATGCCACCCAAAAGGGCAGGAAAGGGCCAGGGCCCCCAGAGGACACTGTTTGCAGGGGAAACCCCTGACCCCTCCAGCAGTGGCAGCCAAATGTCCCTGAGATTGGGTTCGGGCTGAGGCTCCTTTCATCTCAGCGCTATTCTCAGGCTGGAGCTCCCCAAAGCTGTCTGGGGTCTGAGCCAGCTTCCACAGCCACTGAGAGCGTTCCCATTCCTTTCTTGTCTCAAGTGGAGCCGGATGTGACCAGCTCACTCTGGTCTCAGGTTTTTGACCAGTTCTGGCTTTCCCTGTTATCAGAGCTGCTGCCCTTAGCCCTTGTTGACAATAAAAAGCTTATTTATTTTGTTCAATGAGCCAACTTGAATCTCCCCAAAGAATTTTTTGAAAGGTAAAATATCAAACATATTAAGCATGTGGACTTTGCCACCCATACTTATCGCCCAAAGGAGGACGGTTGCCATGGCAATGGCTCTGGTAAGGAGGATGGCTCCTGGCTGAAAGGTGAGTAAAATACCATAATGGGGCACAGGCTGTCCTGCCAGCCAGCCCCTTATGATACTGGGAGTGTTTGCCCAAGTTTTAGGAGTTAAGTCATAATTAAGAGAGAGTGAGGGAAACAAAACTATCCAACTGCAAACAAACATGTTGAGGGGTGGGGTCAGAACATGGGTGGAGATATTTTGAAAGTCAATAGTGAATGCATGTGACTGTGTCTTCTCCTGAGGGCTGGCAGACCCTCCCACCATGAGCTTTTGTGCAGACAGACCAGTCCTATCCATCTGCAAAGGGGTACAGCTGACGGAGCACAGAAAACCCAATGACCCTCATGGCCTCTTTGGCAACATACTCCAAGACTCTACCTGGTTCATTCTCTGAGACCCAGTAGTCCAATTCCTGGGAATCTGCCCAAAGGAAATCATCCTGACTCTAGAAAAAGCTGTGGTTCTCTGGCTAAGGGAACCTTCAGCAGACGGACAGTGTGCAGAAAATGTGCAAAGAAACTTGGCACCATTATACTCCAGATACACATCTTTCCATGTGCAAGGAATACCACAGAAATTGGTGGAAGGAAGCTGAACAAAAATAAAGCTTTGACTTCCAAAGAAGCAAAAGTCAATCCATATGGAAAGAAAAAGCCCTCCACTTGCAGAATTTGTGAAAGTTCTTTGCACCAGCTGGGTTCTCATTACTGCCAGGGCTGTGCCCACAAAAAGGGCACCTAAAAAAATGTGTCACTAGTTTTTGTTTGTATATAGAAGAAAACAGGACCTTGAGGGAAATGAAGGGACAGGGATGGGGAAGGACAGGGCAAAATTGGAGCTGGGTGGAGCCTATATACCGCCTGGGGAATTCTCACACAACAGAACATGCCACCATCAGGGAGATCTGCTTGTGGGCAGATCTGGGAGAAAGACTGCAGACTGACACTTGGATCCCGGCACAAAGGGTAAAGCTTTAGCAACAAGAGAGGACAAAGTCCGTCTCCAAATTAAAAAGGGAGGGGTTAAACTTGGAGAGAAGAAAGTCATTCTGAAGCAGGAGAGAGGCAAGGTGCCCCAGGGGAGTCCTGGAATACCAGGTCGGCGTATCTGGTCCAGAACGACTTTAAATCAAACACAGGGTGGCATTACTCAACCGCCCCTTGTCTCAGGCCCTGGGAGCTTACGCCAAGATTTGGGGCAGAGGAATCTGTAACTCGGGGGGTGAGGTTCCTCTTGAATGAGCACCTCCCCAACCCCAGACAGAGGCAGCTAAGCAAACTGATACTTGTATCAGCAAGAGTTGTAGCAGTTGCCTGTCAGCGAAGGCAGCAAGTTGAACAGACACAGGAACCTCACACCCCACCGCCAGTTCAAATACATAGGAATGCTGGATAAAATTGAACAAAAAAAAATTTTAATCTTTAGCCAAATTGGAGCAGGGCAACCACAAGTGCTTGAAATGGAGAAAGAACTCCAAGGCAGAGTAATGCATAGGAGTTGATGCCAAAGAGCCCACAGAGGGTTTCCACTAGATATGCATCATGGGGTTTATATTTTAACCTCCTTTGGGAAGATTCAGACCTCACAGGTGTAGATATTTGAACTTAACTCATTGCAAAAGGGGAATAGAAATACCGCCCTCGCTGGCCCAGAAACACTGAACAGAAATGTGCCACTGATCGTGGACCAAAGATGGAAAAGGAATCACCTGTGAGAAAAGTGAACCCACATTCCATGCTATGTATGGGACTTCGTGGTCTACAGTCTGTGCTTCTCTAAGTTTTTCTAGGATCAGAGTTTTTGCATGGCACAGAAATTACCAAAACCAGTCCGGAGGAGCTCAGCTTCCAGTATGGCTTAGAAAGCTCCTCCCAGATTAACCCTCTTGCAGATAACAAACTCTGTGAAAAGTACAAAAAACAACCACCTGAAGCCACTGGAGAGTGAACAAAGACAGGCATATTCTGGAGGGTTAGTTGGCACTTGAAAGGAAGGAAAGACAAAGATGAGTTTCCCATTTTTGTGGCTTCTGGCCCAAGAGAAGGCCAAAGTCAGGCAGCACAGAGCAGCTAACACTCCATCAGAAAACCTGCTGTGTTTATGGCCTGAAGAATCAGAGAACAGAGCTCAGGGCAACCATAGCCATCATAAAACGAGGAGGGACTCTTGGAAAACGGATACCCAAAGGGGTAAGGTCCAAGTTTTGTATATAAACTTTTGTGGAAGTCTCTGAATACACAAGTGCAGTGTTGACTGCAAACAGCTGGCTTAGGATAAAAACTGAAGGGAGATTTGAGATGTTCCCAAGAAACAGAGAGTGCGGTATGAACACAAGCAAGTTAATTGTCTACTCAAACAAACAAACAAACAAAAAAAATCAATACTCTTTGGAAGACTAAAACAGAATCCAGAGTCTCTAGAATATAACATTCAGAACATTCAGGATAGAATTCAAATTATTTGACATGCATATGACATGACTCATTTTTAATAGAAAAGGTTGAAAAGAATAGAAATCTATGGAGACTGACTTCAAGATAACTAAGATGTTGGAATTAGAAGACAAGGATTTTAAAGCAGCAATTGTAACTATGGTCAAACACACAAAAGAAAACACACTCATAATGAATGAAAGATATGAAAGAATGAAAAGAAAATATACTCATAAAGAAATCTCATCAGAGAAATGAAAACTATTTTTTAAAACAGAAATTCTACAACTGAAAATATAATATCTGAAATAAAAAATGTGTTGTATGAACTTATAAGTAAAATGGAGATGACAGGAAATCATCCGTGAACTTGAAGATCAATAGAAATTATCCAAGAACAGAGAAAAAGAAGTTTTAACAAAAACAAAACTTCAGGGACTTCAGGACAGTATCAAAAAGAAACAATGGAGGCCAGAAGAGGGTGGTATGATATCTTCAAAGTGCTGACAGGAAAAACTGTCAACCTAAAATTCTATTTTCAGCTCAAATATCCTTCAAGAATGAAGGCAAAATATAGTTTTCAGATAAAAGGAAACTCTGAGAATTCATTACCAGTGGATCTTTACTACAAAAAATGCTAAAGGAAATTCTTCAGACCAAAGGGAAATGGTACCAAATAGAAACTAGGATCTTCAGGAAGAAATAAAGGGCATTGGAAACAGACCTTATTAAGTAGGACATTGTATATCACTAGATAGAATGCAAGGCTCAAAGCCTGAGACTTTGAAGCAGTCAGTACATTGCATCTAAACTTCCACCATCACAGAAGTTCTGGGCAGCTGTCAGTGTTCCTTCAAAGAGGAAACACAATAGCATTAAATAAGTAATAGTAGTAGGCAAATTTTGGCAGTCTCTAAACCCAATACTAAACCAGGAAATTAACTTTGAAAACTGAATTGAAGGAATATTTTTGAAAATGTTACTTGGCACACAGTTGCTATAGAGGTGGAAGCTTCCAGGATGAGAATTTCCTCTCAATTCCCATATCTCAAGTGCACCTCTTAATAGGTCTCTAGAATAAGTAAAGCTACTACAGAAGACAAAGAACTGATCAATGGTCATTTTCTGCATGTCTTGTCTCGTATTAAAAAGTTGTGTCAGCTTAAAAAAACTATTTTCATTTGATATTCGTCACCAAGTTATCAGTTTGTTAGACATCTGTTCTTATGTTTTTATCTCCCCTTTTCTGTGTTAACATTGAATATTTTGTGTGACGTGGGTTTCTTTGTTCTGAGTTTATGGATGAAACAGGTATCAGTAAGAACAAAGCCAATTGCATAGTCTTTGGTTTCAACCAGAACATGCTAAGGAATGGGAGACTTCTGGACTCTTGGCAGAATAACAGCAAAAAAATGTAATTTATGCCTAGCACATTGAGCTGATTAATTGAAAATATCTGCTAAAATAACTTCTCCACACTAGGGTGAAAGTGGCAGAATTTTGTGTATATGTATAAAAGTTGTAGGGAGATAAGATTTAAAAAGAAATGAAACTAAATTCATTCTGCTTTCAATCACCTATGAACTGTTTTACAAAAGGATTAGAGAGTCAACTAGTCGTCATCACTGATGGCAAACAGTTCAACTCTTCTCTCCTTGTAATCATATTTCCCTTCTGGATGTGGGAGAAAAAGCCTTTCTAAAACAGTAGACCCTAGGCCAGACTCTCTCAAGGGAATTTTTGTGGCCCCTGGAGTGGACAGTTTAACCTCAGAGCAGCTGCTGAGGAGTGTGGTGTGCAGAGCAGGGTGGGGAAGACAAGGAGTGTAAAGATTCTACTGTGAAACCCCACAGCTGGCTGCGCTCTACTTTCCCTGCTCTGCCCTGATTCATCTTTCAATGGAAGGGAAACACCAAAAAGAGCCTGAACATGGGCCTCCTCCACTTATGTCTAACCCTTTAACATTCTCTCTCCTACAAGGAAGATAGCTCTCCTTTCCGTGAACACAAGATTTGACTCTTATTGTTCTCCAAATTGTGTTTCATGCACAAAATATACTTTCAATATTCACTAGTATTCATTTATTGAACAAACATGTATTGAATGTCTGTTTTACACCAACATGAAGAAAATCCACTATTATAATATTTATGAGCCATATAGCACAACATTTTTTAAAATCATCAAAGAAAGAAAAAAAAATAGTCTGAAATAAGTGAAACTGTAGGTACCCTACATGGACGCATCTGCATCCCAGGAGTTATACAAGCTTCTCATACTAAAACATCTTTCACTAAAGACAAGTTCACTACTGAAAATTATAAAGCATGTGAGGAAACAAACCATGATGAGAAAGTCACCATATGAGACAACCAAGAGAAATCACATCTCAGGATCTCCAACTAATAGAAAAATATAAAAGATTGTAAAATAAGTATACTTTAAATCTCACCCAAAAAAAATAATTGGGGAAAAAAGTACAGGTGATAATTTTAAATGAACCAAATAAAAATGGTGACAATTTAAAATATAGTCATTGATATAAGAATCATAGTTAAGTTAAATAATGGACTAGACACAGCAATGCTGACGTAGTAGAGCAAGCAAAGGAAATGACCCAACACAAGGAAAGAGAGAGATATAATGCTTGAAAAATATTTTAGTGACATGACACACAGGATGAGGAGCTTTAACATGCACTTAATTCAATTCCAAAAAAGAAGACTGGTCAGAATCGGGAAGAGGAAATATCTCTACATTTGAAGAAAGACATATGTCCTAGTGTTGAAAACACATTGTCTCCTGAGCAGAATTAAGCTTTACTTCATACATTGTCATGAAAATGTAGAATATCAGCAATAAAAAGAACATCCTAAAATAAGCAAAGAAAAAAAATATTTATTACCACTCCTTGGCAATGAGACTGACATCAGCACCAACAAATGCCAGAAGACTTTATAATCATAGCTTCAAAGTTAAGAGGGAAAACAACTGTCAAGCTAGAATTTTACACCCAGCTAAACTATCATTCCAAATTAAGGACCTGATGAAGAGTAGCAACAGAAACTGTGATCAAGGCTTTCAGGGGACAAGCATAGAAGATACTGACAGTTCCAGCTCTCATTGTGCTCAGAAGACTGTGTGAGTCACCCAGGATTCTCTCAGTGGAAAAGAGTCAGGTCTGAGGAACTGGACGTATTGTTGACCTTATTAAGTGGAGACTCCCAGACAAATACCACTGAGGATTTTATCCAGACACTCAAGAACAGGTAAGTCTCAAAGAGCAAGCACTATCTTAGCTTTAGTAATCTTTACCCATCTGGAATTTCTTCATTAGTTTGAGAATTGCAAATATACACACACTAGGAAGGCAGAGGGCCCAGCTTAAACTTACACTGTGTTTACCCTGAGATGCAAACATATACGAACATCATGGTCAAGACTTTCTGTATGCAAGGAATAGAAAACCACTCCATGATTCTGGCTCTCCCTACCATATGCGTCTTCATCAAGTAAAAATTGTTTCCCCACCCAGACCCAATGGCACATGAATTTTTAGTTAAGTATTGACTACCACCTAAGCAGAAGATATGTTTCTCTTAGTTTAAATTTTTCTCAAGAAAGAAAATCAGATTGACCACTAGCCAACGAAAAATTTTTCAGCTCTCTGTGAAGGTGATCCTATCAGTTATGTCCCTGTGTAACAGGAACTGTTGGCTTGCCTACTCAACATCCATTCTACTACCATCACTTTTTCTAGTTAAAGAAGTGTATCCACTCTCCCTCCTATGGCCCTATCTCTAGCTCAAGGGATATATTCTGTTTGGCTTAAGTCAATCATTGTGACTCATTCCCCTTCCCAGTGATTGGTTTAGGGGATGGAGCATACAACCCAGTTTTGACTAGTGATTCATAAAGGAAAGCCTTGGAAGATTCTAAGAAATGTTTCTTTGCTCCTAATGAGAAGACAGTAAAACAGACAGCCCCATCCACCAATATACACACACACACACATACACATATGCACACACACACCTTCTTCCTCCATCTAAGCATAATCATGAGTAGATGTGATGATTAGAAGTATTGAAGCCAGGTTGCTACTGGCCTGAAGATGAAGGCAACACATGGAGGAGGGCAGAACAAGAGAAGCCTAGGGAAGTGGAGCCAGAGTTCTAATTTATGTTCCTCACCTGCAGAGATCCCATCTCTAAAGTTTTTGTAATGTACAACAATTAACTTCTTTACTGCTTAACCCAATTTCAGTTGGGATTTACTATGACTTAAAGCCAATGCATCCTAATCAAAACAAACATGGACTCCCAGGCCAGGAACGGACAGGTACAGCTCCCACAGAAATATCCACTGTGCCACTTGGGTTTAGTAGACTTGGGGAGCATAAGGACTAAAGAATGTCCTAGAAAATCCCATCTCAGAGGAAGAAACGTGAGAAAGAACAAGTTTACTTCAAGATGAATAGGGATGATTCTAGATGCAGTGTAATGGTTGTCATTTGATTTTCTTCTACTCTCGTGCGCATAGACTTGTATCTGAGCTCCAGGGTAAATGCACTGCAGAAAGAAGGGAAAATTGTTAACAACGACTTCACTAAAATCTCCATGGCATACTGAGACGTGCTGGTAGCTTTGGTGCCATGACTTAGCTGTGTCAGGAGACTAGACCAAAGTTTCCTGGGAGGGAGAACAGGGTCTTTGAATCTTGGTTATTAAATGTGCACAAAAGTCTCCTTGTTTGGAGCCAGGGACAACAAATTGTTGGATCTTAAATGCCAACTCAGACTGATTCCACTGACTGTGGTTAGAAGGACTCAGGCATAAGAGAATGCCAAGATCAATGAGCAGCATCCGTCATGGATCTGGCTGGGGAATGGCAGCACACATGCCACACACTCCCCCTCCTGAATCCCTTCCGAGACCTCAGCCGACCACTCCCTGCATCACAGCAAGGATGCGCTCCCTCCAACACCCCATGTTACACATTCGAAGATCTTATGTTTTATTTTTTAACTACTCTTAAGCAAGGATACACTTCCTAAAGTGCACTGTCTCCAACCAATCCAGTCATCGTCGAACAATCCACCAAACCCAAGAGCCATTCTCATCACATTTATTGTCCCTTATGCTTCAAGGTACTTGACAACCCTCAACTAGTGCTTTTTCGTGAAGAGCAACAGCAC